TGTTAGGGAGCCAGTATGGTGTAGTGATTAGAGTCCTGAGTTTGGATTTTGGAGAGCCAGATTTTTAGCCCTTACTGAGCCGTAAGTTAAACAGTCGGTGCCTTTGGTCTTTCACCTTCTCTCTCTCATACTTGATTCTGCCACATGGCATTGTTGTACAAATATAGTGTGGAGGTTCAATAGAGGAAAGGCAACATATAAGTGGATCTAAAAACTGACGATAGAAGTCACATAAGATGCTCGGTCAAGGCAAAGGTGGGGCTCAGATTGTAGGTTGTGAGGTCTTTTATCATTCTGCAAAAGGTCAGAGACAAACACCAAGGCTGGACCCTAGGACCTGTGCCTACATTCCCCACAATGCGCTTTGTGCCATTATTAGCCTGGATGATTCTGTTGAGAGAATTCAGTGTGAGGATTCATTCTAGTTTTTTTCTTGCATTTCATCAATCTTGAATGCAACTACTTGACAGATCAGAAAAGGTACAAGATCATAAGGCCTTGTTCTGGGGTAAAGGCAAGATATTGGTGATGGTGGTGGTGGTGATAATCCACTCCTGCTCATATATGAACTTGGAAACTGTTCGGAAACTCCAGCTGGTGCAAAACGCCACAGCTAGAATGCTGACGGGGGCCAATTACAGGGAGCATATAACTCCCTTTTGAAACCGCTTCATTGGCTACTGGTTTGTTTCTGGGCACAATTCAAAGTGCTGGTCATGACCTATAAAGCCCTACACGGCTTAGGTCCAGACAATTTGAGGGTCCATATCTCCCCATACAAACCAGCCAGAGCCCTAAGATCTTGAAGAGAAGGCTTTCTCTTGGTCCTGCCAATATCACAGGCTCTCTTGGTGAGGATACGAGAGAGAGCCTTCTCGGTGGCTGCTCCCACTCTCTGGAATGTCCTTCCACAGGAAGATAGGCTGGCCCCCTCCTTGCTTGCTTTTCATTGGCAAGCCAAGACATTTTTATTAAAGCAGGCATTCATATCAGTGCTTTTTATGGAGCAGCTGGGTTTTAGTTATACTTTTAACTTTTATATATTTTTATGTGATTTTATATTGTGTGTAGATTATTTTAATTGTTTTGAATTTTACTGAGATTTTTAAATGTTTTTATCTGTGAGCTTTGGGTCCCTCTGGGGAAAAGGCGGCATACACATGAAATAAATGAATAAATAAACAAACTTGGATTTTGAAAGAACAGCATGTTTTCCCTCAAGCACTCTATTATATTTCTCCATGCAAAATGGGATTTGAGTTCAGAGGCTGGGAGGCGAGGTTGAGGAAAAAGAACTCTAGCACATGCAAAATGTTAGTCGAAGGAAGTCCAAGGGTGCTTGCTAGCTCAGTGCACTTGCTACTCTTCACCAGTTCACCTTGTTTATAAGACGTCATGCCTCATGTTATGCTTTATTTATTTGAAACTGGACTCCTTCTGACAGAGGATTGATTTATTTTGGTGCCAGGACCTATTGAAACTTTGTGTCCAACCAGTGGCATCAGTGTGTCGTGTCACTGGTACAGGCACACTGCCTTCCCACTCGGCCACCCACCCAGACAAGTGCTAAGACTCTGAAGGCATCACCCACCCCACCCTACATATGCAGCTGTTGGGTAAGCGGGAAAGGGACTTTTCTCACTCGCCCTGTAGCCTCACCAGTCCCTCCGGTGTACTATCCCAGTGGGTATACACCCGCCTCTGGGATGTCACCCCAGAGTGATGCCTCTGTATCTGACTTTTAGTTAGCCAGTCCTACCAATGACATAAATGATAAGGGACATCCTCTGAGGAGGACTTGTCCACATGAAACCCATGAAAAGAGGAATTGGTAGGGAGGACCTCTGCCATCATGACATAGTGATTTGATTGTTGAACTATGACTCTGGAGACCATGGTTCAAATTCCTGCTCAGCTATACAATACCAGTAGGTGATCTTGGGCAAATCACACTCTCTCAGAGGATGGCAAAGGCAACCCCCTTCTGAACAAATCCTGCCAAGAAAACCCTGTGATAGGTTTGCTTTAGTGTTAAAAGAAGTTGGGGAGTACTGTACTTGAAGGCAAACAACAATAACCCCTGACCCCCCTGGGTCAAAACACACTTTCTGCATCCACTGACTTCCTTCTGCAGAGGAGGAAAGGGACTAGTGGTTCTCCCTCCCATTTCCTTTAAATTCCAAACCCATACCTCAAATCTTGTTGTTATTTTTCATGGTATCAGGGCATCTTTCCCCAAGACGCTTAAGCAAAGCACTGCATTATGAGTTGCTGGGTATCTCCACAAAGTTCCTTTTTGGGGATGAAATGCTGTGGCTGAGGAACAGATTCTGGGCAGAGACAGCAAAGAATCCTTTTCAGTCCATTGAAAGGAGCTAGAAACAGAAAATGTTTATTTGCATCCCTCTTCTGTTGGTGGGTATCAAGGTTTTTCTGTTGTTTTGAAAGCACATTTGATCAGCGAGAGAGAGTGGGTTAGAAGAATTGCATGTACAGTGTTACGCTGTGAGAAGCAGTGCCTCTCCAAAATAACTCTGGACTCTCTTAAAACTTGTCTCCTGTCTCCAGCCCAGTAGAGGACCAGAAGGAGCCTGGTGGGGGACAACTGTTGTATCCTTTTTGGATGAGAAGGAGGCATCAGTAGAGAGAGGTGTTTTGCTCATGTCTTTATTTATTTACCTTGAAGATCTGTGGTGCTGGTAGTCCCTCTGCTGGTACAGTTCACCTCTGTTCCATGCACGAGTATTGCTCTGTGCAGTTCCTCACACTATGGGGTTTAGCACCTCTGGGATGAGCTTCCCTGTATCTTTCTGGGATTGAGCCTCTCTGTATTTATCTCGGCTGGTCCTCAAATGAGAGGCATGCGTTCTGTTGCTGGGGCTGCTCTGGTAGACTATCAGCGTGATGTAATGGTCTGAGTGTTGAACTAGGACACTGGAAGATCAGGGTTCAAATCCCTGCTCAGCTATGGAAATCCACTGGGTGACCTTGGGCAAGTCACATTCTCTCAGCCTCAGAGAATGACAATAGCAAACGCTATCTGAAGAATCCTACCAAGAAAACACTATGAGAGG